CGTTAGCTCATACTCAAAACGTTTGGGATTTTAATTGGCCAACAGGCTTACTATCATCCAACATTATAATCCGCCTATTAAGATAGCCAAGACTATTCGTTGTGAGAACAAATATTATTCAGTAAATGATGTGAAGGCAATCAGCCATTTAGCTGGGGGAAAAAGTAAGAAAAGAAAGAAAAAAACGGAGAACCTTCCACCAATATGGAGTCTAAGTTAGTTGAAAAGAAACATGAAAATATAAACTTTGCCAATAAAGAATATATGTTATATTTGTGTCAGAATGAAAGAGGATGTGCTTTCCATAAAAACGAAGAATGTCACAAAGTAAGGGTAAATAAAGTTGGTTTTGGAAAAATTAAAAACATTCTATATAAATAAATACTGATTAAAGCAAAGAAAACTATAGATTCATATCAAATTATTTTAGTTATTTAAGTATTTTTCATCATAGCATAATGACTGTAAGTCTAAGTGAGAGCTGACCATTCGTTCATTTAAACTTATTGGGTACCCACTGCTTGCCAGGCATAGTCGTAGGAACTAAGGATATAGCAGAAAACCAAGAAGCTCATGTGAAGTTTACCTTCTAGTAGGGATTGACTGACTATAAACAGTATACAGTGGGTTAGGAGGTGATAAGAGCCTTGGAGAAAATAAAGGAGGGTGAAGGGAGGTCACAGGGACGTGTCTGTTCCTATTTGTAAGATTCGCATGCTGAGGAAGGAGGCATTCTGGTGAGGTGTCAGAACAGTTCTTTCTTGTCTTCCTCAGCCAGGAGACACTGTGATCAGAGAGATTTCTGTCCACCACCTCCTCCACCACTGCAGCTCTGTGCATATGCTCAGACATAGGTCTTTGCTTTGCTTGGTGTTCTAACTTGCTGATCAATGACTTCTTTCAAGATAACTCTGGTGGTGTTGCAAGTACATTTAAGGTGACATGTAAGATTTGCAGACACTGCACATTCCCTGAAGTTCAGAGAAGTGCTGACATGCTGTAAGAAGAAAGCAAATTGCATAAGCTTCCTAGCTGAGGCAGGAAAGTTGTTTTGCTGTTTTTTTTCTTTGTTTATTTGGGACTACCTGCAAAGATGAGTGTACTGGAGAGTTTTGATATCTCTATTTCCACACCTGCTTCCGTCTGCCTATGAGGACATGATTTTCTTCATCTGTAGAAGGGGAATGAGTGATGTATTTATCTCAAAGAATAAAAATAAAGCTAAACACTGAGAAGCTTGGGAACTATAGGGGAAAGAACTTGTATTAGGTGGAAGTGAAACCTACAATGACCTATGGGCTAGGCTGGTGATGTAGACCATGGCCTTCACCAAAAATAGCACATTGGTATCATCAGAGAGGTTCTCCAATATATAGACAAAAAATTCTTTTATCAATGCTGTCAGCATTCTTTTTTTGCTTGACTGGATCAAAATGACAAGGGTTGGAGGATGTGATATTGGAAGGTGAGCCATTCCCACTGTTTCATGGAGCCTCACCCTGGGAGTCATGGGTAGGGAATGATGGCACCAGGCCTGTCAACTATGAAGATGTAGGAGAGTTTAAATTCTTATGGTGGTGTGCATGAAATCAGGATTATGTTGCAATCATAGATATAAACCACTTTTTTACTTCCCCAAGTGGCTATTAAGTAGCTGAGGCTACATTAATTTTTAGATCTTCTAGTATTTAGTCATTGTTTTGTATGAAAGCATGAATTATCAATGAACATTTATGCATCCCAAGATATCTTTATTCTGCTGAGGAGAAATTAGGGTACAAAGAAGTTTTGGTCTTTTGAAACCGAGTGCTTAACATTTGAGTTCATTTGAACTCTGCCACACTGAATAAATAAACTTAAGGTCAAAGAAAAAAATGGATGGAAGATTTCATAGGGAGGAGACTAGATGTAAGTCTCAGGTTCTAATTTAGAAGCTCTCTCTCTCAAGAAAGCTTGAAAACATCAACAGGAATGGGGAAGTTTGAGTCAAACCCAGTGGATCAGGAAGCCTATGGGATAGGTAGCATTTTTGGTCTTAGATATGCATGTTCAGCCATTAAATTGTGTGTGTGTGTGTGTGTGTGTGCGTGTGCGTGTGTGTGTGTGAGAGAGAGATATCTATAAAAAACATGCATAGGATTAGGTAGGAAAAAATAATTTTGGTAATTTTTATTGATCATTATGTGTTAGTCACTATTTAGGAGCATGGGGATAGATCAAGGATGAAAACAAAATCTCTTCTTCATTTGAATAAGCTAAATAAATGATAATCAAATATGTAAGAAGTTACATGAGCTAATGCCAGAATGAAGCAGTGTTAGGGGACAGGGAGTGATTGGTGGTGCTTCTGTAAAATAATGATCCAAGGAAGGAGTCTAAATTTGAGCAGAGACATGAATGAAATCAGGCCATGAGCCATGCAGGTATATGGGGAGAAAGTGACCCAGGAGAGGCATGGTAAGCGGAAAACTTAAGGTGCAAGCTTGCTTTGCATCATTACAGTCTGTCCTTATCATTATGGCCTTTGCCACATCATTAAAACACTGCAAGATGGAGACAACAACATTTGACCTTCCTATTTACTGGGTTGGGGGTGAGTCTACCAATTTTTGAAGGCTGACAGACCAGGCCAAAGTTTTATAAAACATGGAAGGGACTGGAAGTATACACAGGTACTTCAAAGCAGGAAGAGAAAGTCTTTAAATTTCCTTCAGAGCTGGATAACAGATACCAGTGTTAATTTTAAAATTTTTAAAACATTCTCAAATTAATTAATGGCTGATACCATAGGGTGATCTTCCTTTGACCATGCGAAGTTCCTAAATAGTGCCCAGTTGTTCTGGACCTTTTTACGATGAGTGTCAGGAGCCCTGGTTGTCATTGTTCTTCTGTGGCTGAGCTGTAGATCTGCCCACCAGGTTAATGTCTCAGAAAAAGTTATGCTGCCAAATTCTTCATATTTCTTATAGTTCATCCACATACCACCCTGCCCAGCTCGCTCATCTTTGAGTAACCCTGACCAAAGACCCTTGGGTGTCTCTGGGTGTCAAAAGTTCTTGGTTCCTTTTTTAGCTCCAATTCTATCCTTTGCCTTGAATAAATCTCAAACTCTGATGCAGAAGTGTCATCTGAGGAAATCATTAAAATTACAATTCCTGGGTCCTGCCTCCTGCACTGTTGATTTCATGGGCTCATGATGGCACTGAGGCAATCTGCATTTTATTAAGCTCTAGAAAACATTTTTTGAAACATCATCTTTAAAATGAAGGGATAGGATCTTGCTAGAGTCCTTCCCACCCCTGACCTTCTGGTAATTTTTGTTATGTTACCACTGGTCCTATAGTGGCATCAGCTGGACAGTTAAGATTCTCTCCTGCTTTTCTAGCCTACCATAGTCATCACTGGGACATGGTTTGTATAGCCCATGGTGATGCCTGGGTACCACCTATTCTTTTCCTGTGGTGCTGGGACTGTTTATTCCTATACCCTATGCCTTTCCATCTCTTGGATTGGAATGAACCATGGACTTTTGTTTCTCTTTGGTAGATATACAATATGAAAAGAACATGCTCTTCATTATCCTAAAGTCTGGTAGGTGGTTGGGTTGGGTCTGCAACTCAGGACTATTGATGTAGGAGTCAGGACCCTCTTCTGGAAAGTATACTTGCTCTTTTAGTCACACAATTTCCCATTTTCTCTCTCAGAGATACTCCAGAGCACCCTTCTCTGTGTACGTATAGTTACCCAGATACAAATTGTCCTTCCCTTCTAACAGACTTCTATCTGCCTCTCACATGTCATGAGAAGACCTTCCAGCAATTTATTTGTTGGGAACTTGGACTTTAATTTGGTTGGCATCTAGATGGAAGAAGACTGTGGAGAGAGGCACATGCACGTTGTAGGTATTATCTTGAGGGAATCACCTTCTCTATTCCAATTTTATTATATTTATCATAAGTGTACTTTCATAACCTCACAAGACATTTAGATACATTCTCAGACTCTTCTGCGAGCAGAATACCTTTCTGTGATATTTACATCCTTGTTTTGAAAAACATGACACCAGAATGACTATAAATTAAAAGGAAAGATAAAAGTTCTGAGAAGGGACTGAAGGCTGGGGTTAGAGGGATGAGGGTTGTGCTTCCCTTCCTGGGTTCCTTCTCTCAGCCCTGTGCCCTGTCCCTCCTCGGTCATTCCAGGCTTGTCTCATGTCATCTGAAGTGGGTCAGCATTCCACCTACGCCTGTGTGAGTTTTGTTCAGCATTGATGCACCAAGCATGGCGGGAAAGGCCGTGTGGGAGGATGGCTCTGAGCACTTGGGAAGAGGAATGTTCCTGTAAAGCAGGGACTGTTGGCAGGAGAGCCAGTGAAAAATGATACCAATTACATAAAGCAAAATGCCACCCATCAAGCAGAACATTTTAATTCTCCCTATTCCGGGCTATTTATGATTTTTTGTCCAAGACTCAATAGATGTCTGCAAAAACTAAAAAATGGAATCAGCCCCATCTGTTAGGTAGAAGGAGGCTCATGCCAGGAGAAGAAAGGGTCAGAAAACACCATCAGCATGTGACCGGAGAACTCCAGGGGCTGAGCACAAAGGCACCACAAGTAAAATTTTGCCTTTCCCATATATTTTTTCTGTTTGGGTTAGTCATACAAGAAAGAGAAGGGTAATTAATCTTATTGAGACATTTAGAAAATTTAATTTTACTTTCTTTGAAAAGTCTCAAGTTTGACTGATCACCTACCAGGGGTCCTCAAACTTTTTAAACAGGGGGCCAGTTCACTGGCCTTCAGACCATTGGAGGACTGGACTGTGGGCCCTGGGATGAGTCGGCTGCTAAGCAGGACAGGCAGCAGTGGCAAAAACACTTGGCGGGCTGGATAAATGTCCTAGGCGGGCTGCATGTGGCCCGCGGGCCATAGTTTGAGGATGCCTGGTCCTATTCCATCCCTCTTTTAAAAATCAACCAACCACTTCTGTGTTTTCCAGGGCAACTTTTCCTTTCAGTTTTGCCAGAGATGGTCCAAGGCTCACAGCTGGTTTCCCGAGAGAGTGCCACAAGATGGCGACAATGTCACAGTGCAGAGAGGCCAGCTGCTCCTGCTTGACACCAATACAAGCATCCTCAACTTGCTGCATGTTAAAGGTCTGTGGAGTTCGAAGATTCGTGACATTGCTCTATGTAATTATGCCACTCTCTGGGAAGGAGGGAGGGTGACTTTATGATTAAGTTCCAGAACCCAGCTGACAATTTATTCTCAGACCAAACTGAGATTTTACTATGAAAAGGAAGAAGTGGTCAGAGGGTTCAAAGCGAAAGGCCTTTCTTTGGACTCTTATAAGCACAGAGCTTGATTATTTTAATCTTTCAAAAACAAGGAGGTTAACAGTGTTCTCAAAGAATATGCTCCTTTATTCAAGTACTTTTTAGTCATGCCTATCCAGGGCAGCCCCCACAATATAGCAAAACGCCCTGAAATCGCTTAATGCTGCTGCCTTTGAAATTCCTTGCCAAGAAAGCAATGTCTTCCTGCTCTCACCCTGTTGTGGTTTTGACTTCTTGGTCCCATGGAAAGTCATATAAATAGGATTTCTTATTACAAAACTGGTCACATAGCTGTAGGGTCTAGGAAGTTGGAATGGACTGAGAATTCAAATTTCAATTCTTCTAGTACATTTTCAAATGGCTAAGTCAGTTATTTCACCTCCTTGTGCATTTGTTTCCTTATCTGTTAAATGAGAATAAAAATCATGGCCTACTCCAGTGGCTGATAATAAGAAATGTTTATCAAAGTGCCTCTGTTCATTGGCAAATGAAAATTACTTGGGAGATGTGATTAGTTATGGATAGCTATAAAACGCTGCACTAAAACACTGTTCTTTACTATAAATATATTTAACACTATGCAAACATTTGTTCTTCTTAAAGTAAGTGCGTGGCTACCTGAAGGGGAAAATAGGATATTTTAAAGGGGACAGACGAAGGGAATTTTAACACCTGTCTCTTGTAGACTTACAGAATCAGGTTTTTCTGATTAGATATTTTGTCATTCTATATCCTAGAGGCTGGTTTTTTAAAAATATTTTGTTTTGTTTTGTTTTTTTATAATAGGAAGAAGGTTTCAGTTAAACCAGTTAATTAGTTGGCATTGGGGGGAAATGAGCTCTTGCCCTGTCTTTTGTGGGGTGTGTGTAGCCAGTGGCTGTGGGAAATGCCAATCTATTGACAACTGATCAACTACCTAAGGACTAACAATGACAAGGGAAAATTACAAACCTAAAGCCTCATCTGATGGGGTGGGTGGAAGAAGCTCTGGGCAATCCTTTAACCAGGGCTTTCCCCATGGGAATCAAATGCTCCTGGAGGTGGGGGTCCCTGCAGGTGTTCAAGGGACTTGGCTTTATATTCCTACAACAACTTGGGAGAAGTATCGCAGCCAGAAATGGTGGATTACTGAGACTCTGCGTGCATTATTACTTCCAGGTCAGTGTTCAATCAAAGAATGACATTGAGAGGACCAAAGGCTAAGATGGAGAAGAGGCATCACAGGGAGAGCAAAGAGGAAGAGAAAGGCAGGGAGAAGTGTGGCCCACACTTGGCTTTGCTCCCTTGCAGACTTCAGCATGGGAACAACCCAAACACTTGCCCCAACCTGTCACCTTCCAGTAGTGGCTTTCCCTAATAATCCTAGTTTAGACACTATTTTTCATTTATGCAGAATAAGTGAGCTAGGTTTGGAAAAACAGAACTTCATCTTGTGGAGAGGGAGAGTTAGTTGTCTGAAGAATCCCCTATTTCTCTTGAGTAAGAAGAAGGACAGTTGGTAGGAATGTGACATGAGTAGTGGGTAGAGATTTCTGTACACACAGGGTGCAGGAGTGGTTGGCCGCAAACAGGGCTATCTAGAGTGAAACTCTCAGATTTTGATCACAAAGCTATGGGTCGCAGCTTTTAGAGAGAATGCAAACCAGAGAAGTGCACAGATCAAATTTTGCTCATCCAGTAATTTGTGAATGTTTATTAAGTGGCCTAGGACCTCTGGGTGAGGTACAGAAAAATTGAAAAATAATACTTCATGTCAGTAATGCATAATATTACTAAAGAAAAATAATTAGAAGGCAAATATAAAAGAGTAGTAGCTAAATTATGGGTACACATTTGGCATAAAGATATGTAAAGGACATCGGAAACCATGAAGGGGGAGGAAGAGATCAAGAAAGTGAGATAAAAATTTGCCTGTTAGGTATAATGAGCACTATTTTGGTGATGGGCAGAATTAAAAACTCCAACTTCAGCGTTACATGAGTGTAATGTTTGCCTCTAACAAAAACATTTGTACCCCCTTAGGATTTTGAAATTAAAAAATATAAAACTTTTTTGAGCAATTTGCAATTGTATTTTATTTATTTTTCAAGCATGTTTTTCCCAAAGATCTATTATTACAGTTGGAATGGCCTAACATAATTTCTTTAATATAAAATGTCTAAAATACGTGCTTTACTACAAGTACATGTATATCTGAGATGTCACATCTAGAAAAGAGTCAAATTTCTAGTTCCAAAGTAGCTAATAAAGGCAGTGAGGCAAAATGCAGACTGGAATAGTCAGGGTAGTGGAGAGGAGGTGACGAGCATGCCATTTGTGTCTGAGACTTAATCAGATCATATAGATATTAGTACCTACTCACAAAATCAAAGTTTGGGGAACTTCCCCTACTTACCTGTTGGACACTCTAACACTTGTCAGCATCCTAGACTCTTTCTTTTTTCTCACATCCTGTGACTAGTTCATCAGTGAGTCTGTCCTGTTGGCTGGATCTTCCACATGGGTTCCATAGATCAACCCCTCCATTGCCACCAACCTAGTCTGAACCACCATAATTTTTGTCTTGGACCATTTTAAGTCTTAATTGGTTCCTATGGTTCCAATTCTTTTTCTTCCTTAGCAGCAGAACCTCTATTTCATTTGTGGCACCAACATAGCCAGCTAAAATGTTCTATTTCCTGACCTCTTTTGTAACCATACATGGCCTCCTGCTTAAGAGTTTGCCAGTGAGATGTGAGGTTTCCTAAAGCAGATCTGACCCAGTAGGAGGCATACCCTGTATGCCTAATTGTTTTCTTTTTCGTATTTGCTGGTATATAAATGTGACAGCTATATTTTCAACCACCATTTTGGATCATGACATGATTTGTTAAGAATGGGGAAATGGAAGAATAAGAGAAACCCAGAACCCTGATGACTTTGGAGTTGCCATGCTAGCATTGAACCCCTCACTGGTGAAATTACTTTTTGTGGTAGAGAAACAAGACTTCATATGTTTATGTCATTAGTATTCAGCTTTTATACTGCCTTCTTAAGCAACTCCTATCAGTTTGTAGTCCATTTGTTTTAATAATATGTCACATCTTGTGTCTTCTCTCCTGAAAACCCTCCAGTGGCTTCTCATCTCATTAGGAGTATCTGAAGTCCTTACCATTATTTAATCTCTGATCCTTTCATCAGCCTTGTCTTCTTCATTCATTCTGGTGCAGCTCTTCTATGAATACACCTGCCTCAGGATCCTTGCCCATAATGCTCGTTGCATAGAATATTCTTCCTCCAGATTGATGTGGCTGGTCACTTATTCCATTTTGTCTTAGAGAATATGCTAACTTATCAGAGAGGCCTTGCTTGCTGTCTTTTCTAGAATGAAAACTGGTCCCCATTACTCTATCCTTTGGCTTTTCTTTACTTTTCTTCATAATATTTATCGTCATGATGTGTTGTAAATTTACTTGTTTTTTTATAGTCTTTCTCCTCTATTAGGATAAACTCAAAAAGGCAAAGAAGTTTACCAGTGTATTGTTATTCAAGGTCTAGAATAATGCTTGATATATGATGAGGGCTCACACATTACCTGTTGATTATTGAATGAATGGATAAGTAAATGGTGCCAAGCTCAGGTCTTGGATGAAATTTAAAAAGTGTATTATTTAAATGAATACCTAAAGGATGATAAAGAGCTATTCAAATAAAATTGAATCATTATCATCATCATCATGATCAACAGTAACTGTCCCTTCAAGTATCTGTTACTACCTGACTTTTTCATATCCATTCATGGTGTTGAAAAAAATGGCCAAATGGAATTTTCTTCATTTTTCTTACACTGCCTACAGGCTGAGGTAAAGCTTGAGAACTTTTAAGTCAAAAGATAATTTCTTCAAAAGATTTCAACTAACAAAACATAAAGTATTAGAGAAGTACTAGCTTCTCTGCCATTTCTATATTATAAACAGTACATTCTGCATGAAGTCCGTACACTTTGAAAGGATTAGTGATCAGTAACAGTGAAACTAGATCATCTAAGAATATTTGGAACTACTTGTAAAGATATTGCATCTTCTATATTATTTGCCTGTTCATGGAAACCAGCATGATATCTAGAGGATTAGACTCTTCCACTAGGAAAACCAACACTTCTACATATGGGCCCTCAAGAGTCTTGAACTTTCTGTGCCTTGCTCATATTTCCATCTATAGAACTGATATGTTTTTCTTACAAGTATGACTTATATAGTAGAGAGAAGGATTATATACATTTTTTTGGGGGGGGGGAAGGAAATTGGGAAATGTTACCAGAGACAAAATTTTGTGCCATTATATATGATGCTATATGTACTATGTGTGCTATTGATTCCTGAACTTTATTGAACAATGGCAGATATTTTCTGTGACCATAATAACTTCTACCATATTTATTATTTCACTTTAATTAGAAAAAGATCCAGAGCTTTTGTCTACTTACCATCTCTACTTCTTCCCTCCTTCTCATCCTCCATCCTTTCTTTTTAAAAAAACTTATTTTTTAGGGGTACTGTTAAGCACAAAAGAGAATTAACCCAATCAATTAATACTAATGAGTTGGGATGGAGGTAGGCATATTGCCTTGGTTTAGTAATTATATTTTTTGTTCTTTTATGTTAAGATGCCCAACGGCCATAGGCATTGCTGAATTAAAATTTATTATTTTTATTCTAAGTAATTATGATGAGCCATAATAACAAAGAAGGAATGTAACCCTCTTGTCAGTGCATTATGCATCCCGGGCAAGGATCTTGGGCTCGTAGTGTGAAGTTGAGGAAGCATTCATATTTCCTGAA